TTTTTTTTTTTTTTTTTTTTTTAGGCAGAGTGTCACTCTCTTGCCTGGGCTAGAGTGCCCTGGTGTCAGCTAGTTCACAGTAACCTCAAACTGCTGGGCTCAAGCGATCCTCCTGCTTCAGCCTCCAGGGTAGCTGGGACTATAGGACTACACGCTATTTTTTTTTTTCTATCTTTAGTTGTTTGGTTAATGTCTTTCTATTTATAGTAGAGACGGGGGTCTCACTCTTGCTCAGGTTGGTCTCGAACTCCTGAGCTCAAGCAGTCCTCTCGCCTTGACCTCCCAGAGTGCTAAGATTACAGGTGTGAGCCACCACGCCTGGCCTTTCTTTTTTTTTTTTTGGTAAAAGAATTTCAGCAGTTTTATGCCATATTTAAAATAGTTTTTCTCCAGTATCATGTACAAACTGTTTATTTTAAATCATTTTCTATTACAATAAGATCAGACTACTGTATATTGGGATAATATGCTAGCAGTATAGAAGGTGATGTTTTTTTCTTTGCTCATAGATCACTGGGGTTGAGTTGTTGGGAAATATGGCAGTGTAGATAAATAGTGGGAGCTGAGAGCGTTAGTCACTTGGTGTTTTGTATTTTATTTTATTTTTTTGACAGACGGGGTCTTGTTCTGTCACCCAGTCTGAAGTGCAGTGGCCTCATCATAGCTCACTGGAACCTCAAACTCCTGGGCTCAAGCAATCCTCCTGCCTTAGCTTCCCAAGTAGCTGGGACTACATGTGCACACCACCATACCCAGCTATTTTTTTTTTTCCCCATAGAGACAGACTCTTGGCTATGTTGCCTATGTGCTAGTCTCAAACTCCTGGACTCAAGTGATCCTCCTGCCTTGGCCTTTCTAAGTGCTGGGATTATAGGCATGAGCCACTGTGCCCGATAGTCACTTGGTTTTGCACTTTGGAATATTGGGTTTTTACAAAGACCTCTTGGAGACAAATTTTCTTTTGTGGTTTAAAAGTTAAAAGTGCTCACTGGAAAGGCTGTTGGAGAAATTGAAAAATAGCCTTTATGATTCTTGAACATACCAGGTTAAATTCTTCCTAAATAATATTTAAGAGAAGTTGAGTTAATATACTGTTTAACATTTCCCATATTATAATAATCTTCAGGAAAAGAGATCTTTATCACATTATTTTTTTTGTCATGAGAAAACTTTATTTTGAATATCTTTTTATTCTCTTTTTTATTCTTAAATGAAGTAGAGTTGAAAGCTATATTTTTAAGAACTATACTGCACTGATACATAGAGTAGTAGATATGAGGATATGAAATTCAGGTCTCCGTTTTGTATTTTAAAGATAAAGAACATGAGACTGTCTTAGGTTATTGCTTTTATTTACAAATATTCTTGGAAGTATTTGCAATTCAGATTTTAAAATTTGCTATTCAGTTACTAAGTAAGCAGATAGCTTTCATAATCACTTCTATAGCATACTTACTTGATCCCTAAAGTTAATCAAATTAAAATTTCTCTACATAATGGTTAGTCTTGCTTGAGTCTCTTCCTTCTTTTCTCCCCCCACCTTTCTTTCCTTTCCTTTTTCCTTTCCTTTCCTTTCCTTTCCTTTCCTGTCCTGTCCTGTCCTGTCCTGTCCTGTCCTGTCCTGTCCTGTCTTTCTCTGTTGCCTAGGGTATAGTGCAGTGGCTATTCACAGGCATGATCATAGCATGGTACAACCTCAAACTCCTGGCCTAAATGATCTTCCTGTCTCAGGCTCCTGAGTAGCTCTTTGATAATAAATGTGTTCCTTTACATGTATTTTAGTTAGTAATTCCCCTTGAAACTCTTTTTAAAAATTTGTACCTTCTATCAAGACAAAAGTAAGTCTTTTATAGTTGCCTAAAAAACTTGTAAGGAACATTTGAGGAACATTTCTTCATAGGAAGAGGAACATATTATGAGGAACATAATATTGAAAAACAGTCATTCTAGCTCATTGAATATTGATTTTATTTATTCTTTAAGTGTTTAGCATTTTGTCTTGGTTTTAGACTCTCATATCCTTTATTATAGTTAAGAGTGAAAAATACTTTGAAAATTGGTTTCTGCCTGTTGAATGTCAATACATATTATATGATTGAGCATGATTGAATGCTCATTTTATATGAATTATTTTATATGAATTATATGAATTGAATGCTCATATTATATGAATGAGCATGATTGGCATATAGTTCTCAGAAATTAAATATTAGTGGTTTGCTAAAATAAAAATACTGTTTAGAGATTGTTACATATCTATATGCTCTATAACTCAGCCTTAACAATTATATAGGCTGTGTGTGGAGGCTCACACCTGTAATCCTAGCACTTTTGGAGGCTGAGGCGGGAGGATTTCTTAAGGCCAGGAATTTGAGACCAGCTTAAGCAAGAACAACATGCCGTCTCTACAAAAAATAGAAAAATTAGCCTGGCATGGTGGTGTGTACCTGTAGTCATAGCTAGACTGGGGCAGGAGAATTGCTTGAACCCAGGAGTATGAGGTTTCATTGAGCTGTGATGATGCCACTGTACTCTAGCCCAAGCAACAGAGTGTGGGACCATGTCTCAAAAAAAAAAAATAAAAATAAAAAAAATTCAAGTATCTAGATCACCTTGTTAAGACATTTTGATAGCATCCTGTACTTGAGTTTTTGTTATAGCACTTATCATAGTGGTAATCAATTGTGTGCCTGGCACAGTGCCATGGGCTTAACTTAAAAATATTTGTTGAATAAAAGAATAACACTTGGCTTTTACTTGGTGGCTTAGTATATAGTACATACAGATCTGAATATAATGCTAAGTTTAATGCAGAGTTCTTTCATTTGTGTGTGTGTGTGGTTTTTTTGATTTGTGTTTTGAACATTTGGAGTTAGGTTTCTGTTTGGTAGATTTTTTGTGTGTTTTGCAGTACAAAGTACCTTACCATTGCTGGAAAATACTGCTGGATAGCAATAGTACAGTTGAGCTTCTTTAAATGAGCAATAGCAATGGTCTGTTTCTCTGTGGACAGTTTTCAAAGTTGTTATTAGTTAATAGTTTCTTTACTCATCTTGATTATTTTAGATTTATACCCTTTTTACCAAAAGCAAATATGTATACGTCTTCATAATTCTTCAACCCATAGCTATTCTAATAAAATTAACATTTTATTCAGAGGAGCAACAAGCTTAATTTAATTTTTCTCTTGGCTATTAAAAACTATTGGTTAAATTCAGTGTGGTATCTTGGTTTGGATCCTGGCATAGAAAAAGAGCACTAGTGGAAAATCCAATTAAAATTGGAGTTTAGCTAATAGTAATCTATCAACATTAATTATATGTCTGACAAATATAGCAGGTTCTAAGATGTTTGTAAATGTTAGGGAAACTAGCCAGGTGCAGTGGCTCATGCTTGTAATCCCAGCTATTCGGGAACTCAGGATGGGAGGATTGCTTCAGGGCAGTAGTTCAAGACTAGCCTAGGCAACATATCTAGACCCTGTCTAAAAAAAATAAACAAAAACCAACAACTAAAAAAACACTAGAGGGAACTGGGTGAAAGGATATGAGAATTCTGTATGCTGTCTTTGCAACATTTCTGTAAATTTAAAATTATTGATAGTTAAAAAGTTTATTAAATAAAAACTATTGGAGTGAGGAAAGATATATAGTAATCACTGGTAAATGTATAGAATCTATAATTTTTTAACAATTAAAAAATTTTAATATAACTTTTTAATATAAATATAATATAATTTTAATATAAATTTTAATATAAGCAGAACAGAATGGTATTATGAATTTAAAAAACATTTAAGGATTCCTGCTTAAATACAGTCCCATTCCCAGAAGTAACCAGGTGGTTTTGTTTTTTAATTTTTTTGTTCTTCTGGTTGTTACTAACATAATTCCAGCGATACTTATACTACCTCTGGGCCTTGATTTATCAACTTTGAATAATGTCTACTATTTCCTTATCATGAAAGATAAGATTTATTTTATTAGTTACATTATTTTTAGTTTTTCTGTTATTTTAATTTTAAAATTTTATTTCTATTTAAAAAAAAATTTTAGGCTAGTCAAGTACAGTAGTGAAAAGAGATGAAAGA